TTATTTTTGTTAGAAAATTTTTCTAAGGTAATGTAAATTCATTATTCTATGTCAGCTTGGAAAAAAATTTATGTTTGAAAATGTTTTGAATTTTCTTTTATTCAATCTCATCTTTTAAATTAAAAGTTTTCGTCTGTAAGCAAATATACGCAATAAAATACTACAGTCTATATACTGTACAATAGACTACACATTATACAATAGACTGATTCTCAATCTGTAGTCTCAAACAGAAAATTCTGAAATAAAAGTTTTTACATATTTTTAATGCATTTTATCAGATATTATTAAAAAGAATTAATTATACTTATTTTAAAAACTTATAAAACAAAGTTCTTGTAGTAGTTGTTTAATTAGTAATTTTGAATTATAACTGGACATTTTTTTGACGCAAAATGCAACTACTTAATTTTACAATTTACCTTTAGAGTAAGCATTTTAATTTAATAATTTCAGCTGATTACATTTAAAGCACTATGATCACTAACATAAATAAACAATTCTTACATGAAAAAATACAAAAACTACATAAATTTTGCTGTTAGCAAGCATTCTTTTTTTTCTATCGGTATATTTTGTCTGAAAAATTTATTAATTTACGACAGAGTGAAAATATAATATTTTCCACAAACAATTTTTTCATTATTTTCCTATTGGGCAAACATTTTAGTTCAATAATTTCAACTGTTTATATTTAAAGCACTTTGACAATTAAAATAAATAAACAACCGAACTCTTGCATGAAAAATACAAAAACTACGTAAAATTTTGATGTAAACAAGCATTCTTTTTTCATAGGCATATTTTGTCGGATAAATTTACTAATTTACATCAGAGTGATAGTTTTAAAACTTAATCATTTTCATAGACACTTTTCTTTTATAATTTTTCTGTGTAAAAATTTTAATTTCATGATTTCAGCTGTTTATATTTAAAACACTATGATAATTGACATAAATAAACACCCAAACATTTACATAACTACGTAACATTTTGATGTTAAAAAGCATTCCTTTTTTTTCTATAGGTACATTTTGCCTGATAAATTTATTAATTTATATCAGAGTTAAAGTTTTCAAATTTGCTCATTTTCACAATGTTCTTTTATTATTTTCTTTTTGTGTAAACATTTTAATTTAATGATTTCATTTGTTAACATTTAAGGCATTATGATGATTAAAATAAATACACTATCCATCTCTTACATAAAAAAATAAATGAACTGCGTTAAATTTTGAGGCTCCACGAACTTTTTTTTATATATTTTGTCTGATAAACTTATTAATCAGAATTGAAAATTTCAAATTTTCAAATTCAATTATTTTTGCTTTCTTTCTTTTTTATGTATATTTTGTTTGATAACTTTATTAATTTACATTGGAAGTTAATTTCCAAATTGAAAAAACTACCGAGTCTGATTATATTTTACAATATAATTATAAGCTTAAAATTTGAAAAAAATAATATCTGTGAGAGTTAAAAAATATATGACAAAATAGCTACCAAAAATATGTTGTTTATTTTTAATTAAAATAAAACGATACTTTGATATATTTTTGAAACAGGTTTTTATTATTCGAAAAAGAAAGAGCTTTAATTATTTTTTTATTCCAATTAAAATGTTTTTAGGCTCAAAAGAAACTGCTTGTATTTCAAAATTATTGATATTCAAACAGTTTTTTAATGATTTATCTATCTGTGTTGTTTATAGACGGTATTTTATCACAAGCAAAAAGTAATGATTGTAGGGTTACTTAGCATTTTTACCGGTAATTCAGTGACAAATATTTAAAAAAAGATAGCTTTTTTTGTGCAACATTGCATTTAATAAAATTTTTAAAAGGTATTAAAAACCCTTGAATGGTATTATTAGAAAAATAACAAGATAATATGCAGAATTATTTTTTGCATAGTGTATGAAAATTTTATAATATATTTCAATGGATGTTGCACTTGCACTTAAAAAAATACATCAGTATTAGAAATACCGGGCAAGTGTATGCCCTGCAAAGACTTTTAATCTTAAAAAACTATCAATGTAAGGAATTCCGGCCATTGGCATTTAACCTTAAAAACATCAGTGCAAGGAATACAGCATTTAAAAAAACATCAGTGTTGGAAATATTGGGCAAGTGTATGCCCTGCGAAGATTTTAATCTTAAAAAACATTAGGGTAAAGAATACCGATAATTATCCCTAAATCTGCCCGGTATTCTTCTCACTGATGTTTTTCCTAATTTATTCTGATCGGGTGTAAAATTATCGGATAAACATTTAGGCATTGATGCAAAAGTATATAATAAATATGATGAAAAACACTAATATCAAATCCGACCTAGCATGTGGCCTAAAGCGACATTCACCTGCAGTTATTGACATTCACCGGTGAAGCTAGACAATCACCAATTTCGGTCTTTCATAGTAATACATACAATATTACATTAATAAAAAAATTTATGTTTAATAAACAGCCTTTTTCTGCCATTTAATTTTTTTTTAAATTATGCTCCTAAATTTACTTAGTACTATCACTTTTAGTACAATGTCACTTTACTTCATTTAGTACTATGCCACGAAGTATTTTCTTCCATTTTGCTCTTCAATGCTTGTTTCTATTTTTATCAATATGCATTTACAACAGGGAAACATCCATTATTTACAACGATATTTATTTGAAACATTTATTTAACATGAACTAAACCGGCATTACCAACGTTCTTTAAATAGAGAAGATTATTATGCACATTATGTTATCCTTCCATAATAATTATTAGATGCCATTAAAATTAGGTATTTACATAATTAATTTAGATATAGCTGTCAACAAAACTTTATTAGTGAAATATCAGTGTAAATTGGCCAATAAACTATATGAAAGATTATAAAAACACAAATTGTTATTCCAGTATTGCAATATTATTAAGAATTCTTAATGTCGCTTCAATAAAACAATTATTCTAACCATTTTTGAAGCCATAATTGTTAAAGTAGTACGCAATAACGAAGCAAATGGATTCATTTGCCAGCAATTTCAGATTATGCTGACATGTAAAACACATTATTCACAGACGGACTATTCTCATAGCTTTCAATATCCTATTAATTTAAGTTATGCATAATTTTCACTCAGAAACTTGAGTACAGCTCGTATTGTCAAATAGTTGAATAAATCTTCATAAATATTTCTATAGTCCCATCAACATATCTATTTTTCAATATGTTTATCAATTCATAAAGGCTTTTTATTTTATTGTGTATGTTCCATGTCGCATTTGTAATTTCAACATCTCAATATTATTTTTAAAAAATTTAAACTTTGATTTTATTTTGAGCTCTATCCCTAAGTATAACTGCCTTATATTTTGTAGAGCATTAATAAAACACAAAACGAATTTAATGATTATAATAAATATAGTAAACACAATTTGTAAACAATTTCTAACAAAAAATAAAAGGAACAATTTAAAAGAAAATTAAAATAGAGGCTTCAATGTCTATTTTAACGATATAGTTTTAATATTTCGACTTGTTCTTGCACTGAGTTATTTATATTTTCAATTAAAAACATGGAATGGAAATATCACACATGGAAATACTCTACTGTAATGACATTTCTGATAAAAAAATTAACATTAACTTAGAAAAACTTAACTCAAACTTAATTTAACTTAACTAAAATAAACTTAAACTTAACTAAAAAAACTTAACTTAAACGTGATTTAACTTAACTAAAATAAACTTAAACTTAACTAAAATAAACGTAACTAAAATAAACTTAAACTTAACTAAAATAAACTTAAACTTACCTAAAAAAACTTAAATTTAACTTAGCTTAATTTAACTTTGGTTAAGAAAACCAAAATATACGGTATTTATAGCATTCAATTGATAATTTTTCCGTTTGCATGGTAAAGATTTACCAGAAAATCTGCTTTTCAAAATTACAGCTCTTATTACTACACATTTAGTAAAAAATACTAAGCATAAAAGTAAATTTAATCGAATAAATGGTTTTTGTACCATGCTTTAAGGTATCATGAAAAAGTTACCAAATTTTACCACATTTGACAAATTTTACCCCATATTATAAAACTATATTTTATTGTTTATATTTACCAAAGCTCTTCCATAAGAATTACTGACCTTTTAGGTGCTGTTTTAATAACACGGTACGTTTTACCAATTCTGGTTTCTCAGTTTATGAACTTTAAATATATAATGGGTTTATCTGGTATACTTTATATTTGTTTGAAAATGTTTAAACTTGTTCTTTACAAATAATGCTTAGCTACTAGTTCTATACTTAATTATTGAAAAACATTTAATTCGATGCCTAGTTTTTAATAAAATAAAACGTATCAATGAATGAAAGAATGATTTTACATTCATTCATAAGTTTATTTTTTATTAATAACTAATGATGAAGGTTTTGAATATAAGTTTACCAGCAACAAACTAATTTTTTTTAATTAACATTTATAATTATTATATTTCGCATGTAAAGCCTTAATAGGATTCGAAACACGATTAAAAAAATATTCTCCCAACTTCTTGGTAATTTGTAAAGAGTAATGCTCCATATCAGTTTAAATGTTCATTCACATTAAAATCTAAAATAGAAACTCATTAAGGACAGCATATACTTCGATTATTAAAATTAGTTCAATGAATATATCATGTTCACATTAATTCCTAATTATCTTTAAGACACAACAGAAAATGTATTTTTTTAGTTATGAGAAACACTCCGAAATACAATTATCTATACTAGAACAATGAAGCGCTTTTATATTAACAACAAAAAAAGAACATATTCTCTTGTTTTATTTGATTTCTATGTCAGTTCTCCGAAAAATTACCTATTTTCTTTTCTTTTTCGTCAAGGTCCAGGAAAGATAATATCACCCTAGGGGCGATAAAGAGCCAAATATAGCTGAAACACTGTGAGCAACCATTCATTTAGTTGGGAAGAAAATATTTGTGGGGAATTATTCACTACTCATGAGGATATTAGCGCGAACAGATAGAACTTTTTTTTTTCATAATAATAACATAACAGATATTTTTCCAATCAAATTAAAGTTATTGTGTGACTTTTTCCTTGTCAAAAGGATTAGAAAATAAGTTGAATTTGATGATATAATTTTCTTTTTTCAAAAATGGGATAAAGGATAAAAAATCTTACAAGTCCCTAAGAGACAAGAACTTTTCTTTAAATAATTTCTTCATAATGGTAAGTATATTTGATAAATTGTATTTTTTTATTATATAAAAAATGAAAATAATCGTAAAATTTCACTCTAGTTTACATTGAGAAACAAATATTTTCATCGTCTTAATAATTGTCTGTATGAATTATTATCAAAACTAATTTAAGTGAGATCTACATAAATTGAAATTCATCATTTAGATTATTTTAAATTATCATTTCATGATAAAAAAAAATGAAGGTGTAATAACAATGAATGACATAAAACATAAAATTTAAAAGTTTGTTGTTTACAAATTGTTTACCTAAAGTTATGAAGTTACTGAAGTTATTAATTTCTGCCATTCATTTAATTATTGTATTTGATATTTTATGAATAATTTTTGCATAAAACGCATAATAATGGAAAATTAATTCCTATATAATTTTAAGAAAACATTAATTAAATTTCTAAATACAAAAGTTTTGAACAATATTTTGGTTAATATTTTACGTAACAGAAATATCTTAATAAACTTGATGTTTCTGATTTGATATTTATTAGCAGAAATATCTTAATACATTTAATATATTCACATATTAACTTTAAATATAAAATAGGGGTTTTTTATTCAGCCTAATGTAAATTTCTACGTAAAACTTTTAATTAAAAAAAAAAAAGTTTTTCGAAAGTGGTGCATCCATTATGACTGGTAAATTTAATTCTACATATTTTTTGTTTATTGTATTAATTATTGTAAAATGTTAGTTTTTATTAATTATTGTGAAATATTAGCTTTTACTAATTATTGTAAAATATGAACTTTTATTAATTATTGTAAAATGTTAGCTTTTTTTAATTATTGTAAAATTTCAACTTTTATTAATTATTGTAAAATTTCAACTTTTATTAATTATTGTAAAATGTTAGCTTTTATTAATTATTTTGCGCTGCTATGTGATTTCCAATTTTCTCGTATCATCTGAGGAAATCCTATCTACTTAATACTCTACATTCAACTCCGTTGTTTAATAAATTTGAGCCCAAATCAGAAGACAATGAAACTTCCGAGTCATATTCTGGCACATCCCCGCTCTCAGAATTAGCTTCACTATTCTAAGGCACGACTGGAAATATTTTATGTCGGAACAGTGGTCAGAACATTACATTTACATTTAATCCCTGCCTGTATCAAAAGCTAGCGAAAAAAATTCTGATACTTCACAGTTTAATCTGCTTAATTAAAATTACTCTGCTTTGATTAAAATTTATTTAATTGAAAATTTGAACAAATAGTTACTGCGAGCAATAAAATTAAATCTTTTTAACATCCCGTTAAAACTACTTGTTTTTCATTAATTCTTAATTCATTTTTTTAGTTATCCATTATACTTATTAAAAGATTACTCGTAAATAATTTTACGAAGAACTGAGTCGCTTTGTCACATTTTCTCATAACATTGTTAGAATTTTCATTCCAAAATTACGGTGAAATAACCTGCAGCAGTCAGTCCATCCAATTAACCGTAAAGTTTACGGTGAAGAGCATTTTTTTACCTTTACGGGTTTGGAACCGTTTATAACTAGTATGTTTAGAAAACCATGAATGCAAAAGTATACAGTTTTTAAACCATTTAAAACTAGAAATTTAACTGGACATTAAAACTAGGCTTTTCTTTAGGTAATGGGCATCAGAGTTAGGTTGTGGTTGATTTGTCTTTTATGAAATGAACCATGGAATATGATTTAATTAGTTTATCTGGTTATTTCACCTGTCGTGAAAGATGGGAAATACTAGACTTTTTTCTGTTAGACAGCTTCATGGTACTGTCACCTATGCACGGATGAGAGTATCATATTCTAATTGCATAGGGTCCCAAATGGGGAGTGCAGGACACTGGAAACTATGCATTAAAGGGTTCTACCGGTCATGAGGATGACAGATCAGCTCTTTCGGCTATAATATGTACTCAGCAGCAAGGAACTAAGCGACTTCATTAGGTGGACCTAGTTGATGCGATAAAATTCTGATTGCTTAACCGTATTAGGTGAAAGCAAATAATAAACGGGTTTTTTTCACAGTTAACAGTTTGAATACCATCTTATTTATGGTTATTGGACTGTTTTGTTTGAATGTGGTAAAATAGCAATTAAACTAATTGTTATTCAACCATTTTTTTCAAGACATTTCTAACAATTCAGATAGCATAAAACAGATTTTTGTGTAGGAAACAAGCAGATTGAATGTAATAGGATTCAGAATAAGTGAGTTTACAATAACTTGTTTTGTAGAACAATCATAAAACAATCATAGAACAATCATAGAAATATTATTTTATTATTAGAAAAATCTATTATTAGAACAATGAAATTATTAGTAATTAGTAGAACATTAATAATTATTAGAACAATAATATATCTCTATAATTAGAACAATCATAAAAGTACTATTTTAAAGAAAGAAATAACTGTTATTTTGCAAATTTTGGTGCATGATTTATAAGTACGTATTTACAGTTGACTTAATTTACAGCATTTAAAATTGGTTTTAAACTAGATTAAATTCTCCTAAATTAAAACAGGAAGTTGTGCTTGTTTTAAAATGCAACTTTTCTTTTTTTCTTATCAATTTTGTATTTTACTGTTCTAATATTTTAGTTATATATATCTAATAATAAAATTAATATTTAGCATGTAACAGTTAATTGAATATTTAACTGTTTTTTATTTCTCTTTTAAACAAATAACTTTATTTTTCTACTCTTAAACTCTGAAAAGAACAATTACTAGCGTTTTTGGATTTATTTGATGGCACTTAGTTTACTAGATTAGCTACCTTAGTTTAGCAGAAGTCTTTAAGTTGTCAAGTTGAACATGAGAGATTTTTGGATATAATTTTTGAGCAACAAAAGTGCGAACTAGTTTCATGTCAAGAAAATTTGGTAAAAAAACTGTCCATAACTTGCTAAATATACTCAAAACGTATTGTTTAAGTAAAAAAATGTTTCAGATGTTTTTTACGAAACAAATAAAAACGAGATATACGGGGATTAGACAATATTATTGAAACACTTCTAAACTTTTTTTCATATTTCTCAAAAAACACTATGAGAAGTATTCTATAACTTTAGAAGTGTTTAGATCATTAGATCATGCGATTTCTCATACATATCAATAAAGTTTAAGGCTTTTAAATTTTTGAGAGACAGGACATAAGTAAAAAATGAAAGATAGTGTTTCTAAACATATATCGTATACCAAAAATACAGACATAAACTTGTAATTTGTATCAACTACTTTTGTTATCATATGCAATGATTGCACAAAATTTCGTAAACCTAGCTTTAATATTCATGAAAATATGACCATTTTTATAAAAACTAATTTTTTTGTTGCCATAACTGCCTTTTTTGCTGTAACTGCCGAAATATTCAAATCAAACAAAATTCTTAGCATAATTTTGAATTTACAACAAAAATATTGCTTTAAAATTAAAAAAAAAATCATTAAAAATTGTGCAAGATATGAAAATTTAAAATCATTCTTTCATAGTGGTCATACTTGGAATACATTTTAATTTTTTTTCGCATTTTCTTTAATCCTATTTGTATTTTTTTTTTAAAATTATTATTTTAAATTATTTTTCTTCATCTCTTTTCATAAATTTTTATTATCTCTTTTCCATGTTTTCTCTACATTTTTAAGTCATGTATGTTATATATATATATATATACTCAAGTCTGTTAGACTTATGATTTTTTCAAAATTAATCATAGGTTATACTCGATAGTTTAAGTATATTTGTTATTATGTAGCCTTAATGTCAAAAAACCTTAAAAAACCTTAAAAAAACCTTTTTCTTGTTCAATTCTTGTTATAAAACTTCTTGTTCTATTTTCTCGTAATGAAATATCTCACAAAAATTAGATTAAAGAACCAAAATTACCTAAAATAAGAAAATTATCCGAAAGAAATAAGTCCTAATGTATCAAACATGGATGCTTAGTGAATCTCGATGAGTATGGTTTTCTTGCTTTATTCTTTTCATTTCTTTCTAATTCTAAGCTTTCTAGCGATTAAACAAACATAGTCTCGCATCATAAATTACGAGTTTCTAAAATATATGTCATCCCATTGTTTACACATCGTTTGAAGATCTTATAAATGGATTCAAGGAGAGCAAAACAAAAGCAAAACAGAATAGAAACTTTATTTTAAGAAGGAAAGTTACGAAATAAGTTATATATTATTTGACTTGGTTTAAATTCTATATCACAGAAATGAAACACCAGTATCGTAAAATAAATCACAAATGTTTGATAAATAAAATTTTATTTGTAAAATGGAGCTCTGTTAATAAAAATGCAGTCTTAAGTGTACGATTTTAAAATTAATACTGCAGTAATTCAGCCTTATTACGTTGTATTGTTATTTAGTCTCACTATATTATGCACGAATTTAAAATGAATGATTCAGTAATTCAACCTTATTCAGTTGTATTGTTATTTATTCTCACTATATTATGAATGAATTTAAAATGGATGCTGCAGTAATTCAACCATATTACATTGTATAGTTATTTAGTCTCACTATATTGTGTACGATTTTAAAATGAATGCTGCAGTAATTCAGCCTTATTACGTTGTATTGTAATTTAGACTCACTATATTGTGCTGTTATTCAGTCTTATTTGTTATATTGAATGCCATTGTAACTCTTTTTCTGTCACAAGAACTGAAATATTCTTTGGTAGATGGCCTTTTTGTTAGTTATGAACTTTTTGTCTGAGCTACATAACAATACTTATTTTTTTAAAAAAATATTTCTTTCAATTACTTTAAATTGACTATTTCCAATTTAAGTAAGAATTAAATTTCGTTTTTTATTTCATAGAAGTATTAATAAAAATTTCAAAATTGTATGTTCTGATGAATGATTAGAGTTAATTTTTAGTACGCGGAGTTCTACTAAAATTATCGTACTGTATGATAATGGCATTTCTGGTTAAAAAAAGAATTCTTTTTAATAAAAACAAAATTTGCGG